AAAAAGAAAAGAAAAGAAAAAACAACCTGCCATACCGTGAACTGTCTATGGAGAGGGGTGGCTTCTAGTAGCTGAAGGACTCAGTCCTACAACCATAAGAAACCAAATTTTACCAATAACATGAGTTTAAAAAAGGGCTTGCACTCCAGATGAGAATACTCGGGTCAACTGTGATTGTGAACGGAGAACTCTGCTATACCATGCCTAGGACATGTCCAGCAGAAACAACTAGATGATAAATGTTTTTAAGCCACTAGGTTTGTAGTAATTTATTACACAAGGTTTTTGTAGATTTTGTCTATATATACAACTATATCTTAAATGAATAATGAAAGCGTAATGCTTTCTTTCCAGTATTTATAACCTTTACTCCTTATTTTTACTTTAGTACTCTAAGACTTTTAATATAAGGTGACGAGGGACCAGCAGTTAGCATAATGGCTATGTTGCTGGACTCCTATGTAGTAGACCGCAGTTCGAGTCCCGGACCCGGTTGCTTAAACTCACGCTGGGCGCATGTGCATGCGTGCCCAAAATTCCGGGAGGAGAATGGAAGAGAAGGGATTGCAGCACAGCCATCCCCCCGGGGGGTGATTTCTTGCTTTCTGTCTCCCTGTCTCTCTCTGTCTCTCTGGCGAGCGCACACGCACTATAGCAAAAAGCTCTCCAAAAAAAGAGAAAAAAAAATATATATAAGGTGACAAGAAATGTAGTCATCAACAATGACTCATTCTTTATAACAAAAGAATTCAATGTTTAAATATTATATAGGCTATTTGCTGTAGGTTTTTTTTGGATATCCTTTACCAGATTTAGCAATTTCTGTTTGCCCATAGTTTGCTAAGAATTTTTGTCAGTAATGGATATTGAATTTCATCAACTAAATATTCTGTTCCTTTTAAACACATGAAATTTTTCCCTTCAAATGGTTAATGAGTTGAATTATAGTAACTGATTATTTTGGGGGGGGGGAAGAGGTTTTTGCTATAGGGCACGTGCACTCGCCAGACAGACAGAGACAGAGAGACAGAAAGCGAGAAATCACCCCCCAGGGGGGATGGCCACTCTGCAATCCTTTCTCCTCCATCCTCCTCTCTGGATCTTGGGCACGCATGCACACACAGCCAGCGTGAGTTTTAAGCCACCGGATCCAGGATGTGAACCACAGTCGATTACATGGGAGTCCAACGACATAGCCATTACGCCAACTGCTGGTCCCATATTAACTGATTCTTAATAATAACATGACCTTTTGATCTGGAGGAGAGATGGAGAAGCAGTTTAGCCATGGTGTTATATTCTTTCTACAAAAAATTTTAATATAGTTTAATAATATTTGGTATAGAATTTTGGCATCTATGTTAATGAGTGAAAATGAGCCTTAATATTCCTTCAACTTTTTTTTGTCTTTGTGTTTTGATACCATGAGTATGCTAGTTTAATGCAATAAATTATCTGAAAAAGTTGCATAAGATTGCAATATATTTTCCTTTCATGCGTTTTAGAACTCAGTGACAAAGTATCTAACTCTGAAGGACTACTCAGAATTGAATATAATGTCTTCAGGTTGTCAAGATGAGTATGTTAAATCTGCTAAGAATTTGGAACATCCAACTATAGCAAACCAAACTTTCCACTGGTCACTGCTGCATAACCATATCTGCAGAGAACAAGTGAGATAGAAATCAGTGACTCTTGATTACTTGACCAATGAATCCTTCAATTTAGTTTGTGACAGAGTGACATATTTTGTTAGCTTAAACTTTGTTGCATTCAAAGTTCCAAAGAAAATAATTAATTTTGCATAGTGTTTCATGAACACCAAATCCTGAATGATATGGCAACTAACATACTGAATATAAATTTTGAATTGGTATGCAGGAGTTAGTTAATAAATGCTACTGATGTATTAAAGTTCAAGTTTCATACTCACAATGCCTAGAAAAGTACAAACGATGGGGTTCAGCAATGGAGGAAGAATACAATGCTCACTGAAGAGTAATGTCAAAATAACCCTACATGTATTTCTCAAGTTTTATTATATAAGAGATAATTAGTTCTTTTTCTCCTTCTTCTCTTCTCCTTTTCATTGCCAGAGGGTGTGTGCTCATTAGGGAGACAGAAACAGAGAAATAGACAAAGGAGAGAGAGAAAGCACCCCCCAGGGAGACATGATCATGCTTCAATCCCCTCTTCTCTGTTTTTCTATCCTGTCACGATTTTGGGCATGCACAGACACATGCCCAGCATGTTTTTCAAGTTGTGATTCAAACAGCAGTAGGCCCTATGGGATCTGACTTTCTTAACCACTAGTACACAGGGATAGCCTGAAATAGTACCTCCAAAAAAATTCTATTTCAAGGGCCAGAAGTTGGCATGGTGGTTAAGGCTCTGATTCCCACATGGTTGACTGCAGTTTAAGTCTCAGATCACATCAGACGTGTGTGCCAGCATGCCTAAAATACCGAGAGAAGAATGGACAAGAAGAGCTTGCAGAAGAATGGAGAAGGGCTTGCAGCATCCCCCCTCAGGAATGATTTCTCACTTTCCCTCGCTCATGTACTCTATGGCAAAAATCTAAAAATAAAAATAAAAATAAAAAATAAAAAAGATTTCTTCTCCCACCCAATACCTCACACATTGAAAGTTTTTTCAAGTATCTATGTCTCTCTCTCTCTCTCACTCACCTAAAAATGTAACCTCTAATCCCTTTTCTTAGACCGTGGCCTTCTGTTCCTCTGTTCCTTCAACAAGAGCTCCTAATCTTACAAACTCACTCAAGCACAGGAAAGGAAACATGAATGGAGGTGATGAGGCAAGAGAAGCCCAAGAGAAGGCTGCAAACACACTGACAAACCATGATATTTGTGGGCTTCCTCATATACATTGACAGACCACACACTGATAAAGGTAAATTATGACATGATAACAAGAGCAATGAGATGTACATATTTGGTCATTTTTACTTATATTTGTGACAATTTCCTAGGAAAAATTTTCCTGCAAGTATTTCTTTTCTCTAATAGTATACTTGTCAACTTTCTATGTAATATAAGGTTTACAAGAAACATGGTTTCACAAAATGTGCTGCTTTCTAAAATACCATTTCATCACTAGATAACTTTCTTAATGAAGTAATTTCTTTATTTATTATTACTTTTCTCCCAGACAGGGTCTCACTGTCTTCATCCTCCTGCCTCAACCCCATAGCTGGGACTACAAGTATACACCTCACACACCTGGCTTTTTTCTTTTTCTTTTCTGACAGGGTCATTCTGTGTTGCCCAGGCCATCCTTGAGCTCATGGTCCTCCTGTCTCAACCTCGCAGTTCTCTAGGGTTACAAATGCACACCACTGTGCTTCACTTTCAGAGTGGGCCAGGAATCGACTCCCTGTATGATCCCAGCCTATAGAGCACAGCGTCTTAGCAGCACACATCACAGCTGGTCCTCGTAATCTTTTCTTTTAAATCATCATCTTGGGCCTGCTCTGTAGTGCAGTGAGTAAGCACTGTGCATTGGAAATCGGAAACTAGATGCCACATTGCACACCAGGGTTCACACCCCAGTCCCAATGGCTTGAAAACACACTAGGTGTGTATTGTGTGCATGTGTGCTCAAAATTCTGAGAGGAAAGAGATGGAGGAAAAAAAGATTGTGGCATGCTTTCTCTGTCTCTCAAGTGTATGTGCACTTAATATATACAAATAAATAAAATATTTTACATTTTTTTATTCTGGCAATAAAAAATGTATATATAAATAAATAAAGCACCATCTTTGAGGTGACTTACACAAGTACTTCTTAAAGATGTACTAAATGGTAAATTTGTAGGTGCAGCATCTAGCATAATGTCAGCTATGTAAGAGTCAGAAATTATTTGTGGCCTTAGTTTATTAGAGGCCTTCATGACCTTCAGTTGCATGAGTTTATAGATCATATCACAGACATCTTATGAAGCTCATATGTGCAAATGATTAGCTGAGATTTTAGTAAGTAGTTTAAAATAATGGTAGTTGAGTAATTGTCAGAAATAAAAGTCATAACTTCCTCTAGATGGCTAATAGAAAATATTTTTCAACTTTTAAAATACAAAATTTAGGACCCTTCCATTTGTTAATATGAGATTCTGTTTCAAAGAAGACTGATACTGAATTCACGAACAGGGCAGAAGGGAGTAGGTAGAAACTGCTACTACAGGTGTTCTGACATGCCAGCTTATTGAGTCATACACTTGTGGCTTGCACACTTTGTTTATATTTGTATGTTACTTTAATGAAAGGATTTGAAAATCCCTTATTGTTAAAGTTTCTTAACATGAGATAATGCTGACCATATTAGAGAACATAACAAACTAGCGGGGTTATAAAACAGCATACTGAATATAATATCACAGTGGAAAAGTATGCTTTGTCTGATAACAAAGGAAAAGAAAAAAACATTGAAAGATATATACTAACAATTTATTAGTGATGAATAAAATGTGTTATTGGGGCCAGTCTATGTCATAGTGGTTATATTGCTGGACTCCCACATGGCTGGCCACCATTTGAGTCATGGACCTGGTCGCTTGAAAATCATGCTGGGCATGTGTGCATATGTGCCCAAGATCCCAAGAAGAGAATGGAGAAAAGGGACTGCAGTGTGGCCATTCCCCTTATGGGGTGATTTCTCACTTTCCCTCTCATGGTCTCTCATTCTCTCTCTCTCTCTCTCCAACAAGTGCACATGTCCTGTAGCAAAAAGAAAAAGTTATAGAGTGATAGAGTGCGCTGTAGTGAATAAAATATGTAGATAATGCTATATCAGTACACAAAGAGCTTCTTCATTTTTATCAGGTTTCCACTCAGGCATTTAGATTATTTCTAAACTTTGAATCTTACAAGTAACATTGCAGTGAATAATGTTGTACCTACACTGTATTATATATGTAAGCAACTGTAGAATATTTTCCTAGAATTGCTAGGACCAGCAGATGGCATATAAAATATGTCATTGGACTTCCATATGGTCAACCGTGGTTGAAGTCCTGGACCCAGCAGCTTCAAACTCACACCAGGCACATGTGTGAGCATGCCTAAGACCCCTGGAGGAGAATGGAGGAGAAGGGATTTTGGCCTGGCTATCCCTCTTGAGGGATGATTTCTCGCTTTCTGTCTCTCTTTGTCTATCTGGTGAGCATACACACCCTATGGAAAAAAATCGCTCTAAAATAAAAAGAATTAGAATTGCTAAGGTAAAGGAAATATATAATTATAATGTTAACACCCATGGCCATACATAGCAAAGATCCTTCATAGAAATTGTCCCAACTTATGCTCCCACAGGCAATGAATGAACAGGGTACATTTCCACACATCCTTGCCAATGTCATTTGTCTTCACTTTTCCTTCAAAATTCATTACTGAAGAAAATGTAAAGACCACATAAACAAGTTCTGTTGGTAGTATTAAAAGTGATCCTCTCTGCTTTAATCTTTGTATTCTCTTAGCTTTTTTAGGTTTTGAAATTAACAGGACAATATCAAGTTGTAGGACAGTGTGTATAATGTATCACCATTGGTGTAAGACATTTGGAGGAAGAATAGGAGAATGTGTATTTACATATATATGATAAACATTCTTTTGAAGCTGAGATAACACATTGACTGTCATGAGTCAGAGTGCTATCAAGTTTAATTAAAAATGGCAAAAATCAGGACCAGCAGTTAGCGTAATGCTTATGTCACTGGACTCCCATGTAGTCGACCGCAGTTCAAGTCCTGGACCGGTGGCTGAAACTCAAACTGGGCATGTGTGTGTTCATGCCCAAGATCCTGAGAGGAGAATGGAGAAGAAGGGATTGTAATGTGTCCATCCCCTCTGGGGGATAATTTCTCGCTTTCTATCTCTCTGTCTGTCTTTCTAGTGAGCGCACGTGCCCTATAGCAAAAACCTCTCAAAAAAAAAAAAAGGCAAGAATCTATACAGTCAAAATGCTCACGTGAGATAGAGCGAGGTCAGTGACGTCATGTTGACTCCACAGGCACTGTCACCTAGAGATACATTCTCTAAGTGAAGTTCAAAGGATTGTGAAACATCTCCATTTTATACCCAGGGAGAGCCCAGACATGCCTGCCTGAACATTCTCAGGGAAACCCCACCTCAAGGATGCTAAGTCCCATTTACCGCAGACTCTTGTTAGCCAGGGACAACTTTCTTTTTCTTTCTTTCCTTTTTTTTTTTTTTTAAGAGATGGTTTTGCTATAGGACACACGTGCTTGCTGGAGAGACAGAGACAGAAAGTGAGAAAGCATTCCCCAGGGGAGATGGCCATGCCACAGTCCCTTCTCCTCCATTCTCTTCCAGGGATCTTGGACAGGAAAACCATGACTGCTATGAGTTTGAAGCCACCAGGTCCAGGACTTGAAGGGCAGTCAGCCCTATGGAATGCAGTGATGTAACCGCTAGGCCATCTGCTGGTCCCTAGCCAGGAGCTAGTTTCTAAGGACCTTTCAGAGATTATGTCTCTTCCTCCACAAATATCACTGAGTCCTGTTATCTTGTGGTCCTCGTGAGTTTAAGGTTAGATCAGATGCCCTGTCTTTCTCTTGAGCGCAAGTAAAGGAGGACAGTGGACTTCCTCTTTCCTCCCAGCATACACAAGAGTGTCTTAGGAAAGACAGAAACAGGGTAAGATGGAGATTTTAAACTGAATATCCTTCTGGTCTGTATGAATGTATGGCCTATTCACAAATGATTAAATAAATACAATGAGCAAAAGTAATAAAGTAAAAATATGCAATTTATAAACAATAGAATATATTTCTGGACTCCAATTTCATCCATATTTATAAAAAGGCTTCTATGCTATAATTAAACATTGCAACTCAATTTTGGTAATGGAATATCTGGCACGGGGAAGTTTGGAACCGAGGAAGAGAATGTGACAAGATGAAAATCCTTTGGCTAAGAATAATAGGTTCTTGTGTTTGGTTTTGGATTCCTGCCTAATAAAAACTTTTTTTTTATTATGAAATATATTCAGAAATTTTATGTGCTTTCTGAACGGATTAATGACATTACCATTTTTAAGTTTGACAGTTGTATTTTATTGTGCTTTCTGAAAAAAAAAAATGGCTGGACTTCAGGACATTTTCACTTGTCCTGTCCTTGTCCTTGCTTTACTGCCTTAAGCAAGACATATGCTTTTTGTCTTGGGAGTGACTATAGTATGGAATGGAAAAAAAAAAAAAAAGAAAAAAAGCCAGACAGAATTAGAGTTTGGGCTGGATTTGAGCTGTCATTTGCTATTTATATGACTTCAAAATTACTCAGTTTCTCCAAGATCTGCTAATATTTTCCCCCTCTTGTCAAATGGCAGAAGCAACGCCAACAGTTTTATTACATGTTTTCTAGAAAACAAAGCCTGTGACCCCATCGAGAAATCTGGAGCAGCTAGAATAAAAGGAAGAAAAGACCTGAGACCACAGGTGGTACAGACACAATGCTCAGCAGGTGTTTCCACCTGGCACAGGATTTTCCTGGATCACTGCAAAGAGAAGCCATGCAACAGCTCAGTCCATTGGAAGGAGGACAAACAGGAAATATAATCAGCTGAGCTCCCAAGTCCCCCTTTTTTCCTAAATTTGTCTCAGTGAAAATCCACCGAGACAAAATTAACTCCACATCCTATGCAGGCATCTTCTGGCCCTTAAAGCTGCCTATTGAAAACACATACCCCAAGTCCTGCCATGTGATATTTCATTGACGTCCTCAAGGACTGGAGGACTCAGAACTCCAGCCAGGTGTAACTGATTGCTTTAAAACGGTGGACATGGGAGAAAAAAAAAAAAAAAAAAAAAAGCAGTGGCCCTGAGGGAGGTTCTAGCATTCATGAGACAAGTGACTGTCAGCCTGCAGAGGTGGGCATGAGCCAGCTCAGTGCTGGCACAGCCCAGAAGTAGCTCCAACAAAGCAGGTAGTCAAAGTTCTGGGAAATGGCTGGTGTCCAAAGAGTTCAGGATTTGGTAATAACATTGTATCCAATATACCAGATCTTGACTTTTGTGTGTGAAGGCTATGTTAAATAAATCTCATTTTATACCAGATACAAAGAAGTGTTCGCCAATGTTAGTTCCCTTAGATGGATATAAAGCTATTTTAATTACTGTTGAGAAATTGGATTAAAATTAAGAATATATTAAGCATGTTTATCGTTTGAACACTCCAAAAACACTCACTCAGTAATCATCTAGCTTCAATAATGAGTGAGATTTTACCAATCTTGCTTGTTAATATTTCCTCCATACATGTTTTTTTTTAAAGTTTACCTATTGATTTCTTCCATGAGAGAGAGACTGACAGAGAAACAGAAATCCCAACAGATTCTTCACACTGCAATCCACCCTGTCTCAGCCAGCTGTGCCTGGCATGCTTCGGGAGGTCCAGGAATGAGAACCCACAACCTCTCCTCTGCGGTTCAGTTGTATTATTGCTTTATGACCACCTGGCCTGACTTCCACATTTTTTAATACAAAGCTTATTTATTTATTTATGTATGTATGTATGTATGTATGTATGTATGTATGTATGTATGTATTTATTTATTTATTTATTTATTTATTTATTTATTTATTTATGGGACCAGCAATTGGTTTAATGGCTATGTCACTGGACTCCCATGTAGTCAACTGTGGTTTGAGTCCCAGACCAGATAGCTTAAACTCACACTGGGTGCGTGTGTGTGCATGCCCAAGATCTCGAGAGGAGAATGGAGGAGAAGGGATTGTGGCGTGACCATCCCCCCTGGGGGGTAACTTCTTGCTTTCTGTCTCTCTGTCTCTCTTTGTCTGTCTGGCGAGCACACGTGCCCTATAGCAAAAACCTCTCAAAAAAAAAAAAAGAAAAGAAAAAGTGCTCAGTACTATCTGATACACAATCCGTTCAGAATTCCAGCACCCTTAACCACCACTCCACCTGCCAGGTCTTCTACAAACTTTTTGAAGTACCCTGTGTGTGTATGTAATGTTATGCAACCATGAAAGGAACAAAGTTCTGATACAAGGTTCAACAGAAATGAACTTTAAAAACATCATGCTACTGAAATAAGCCAGACATAGAAGGACACATATTGTAGGAGTCCACTTTTCTTATACAGCTATAATAGTCAAATTCATAAAGACCAGAAGTAGATTAGAGATTAACAGGAACAGGGGAAGAGAAATGGAGGTTAATGTCTAATACATAGAGAATTTCTATTGCGAGTGATACAAAAGTTTTGAAAACAGGACCATCTGGTGACATGGTGGTTAAGGCGACTGGATCCCACCCACATGGCCAACAGTGCTGTTCGAGTCCAGTAGCTTGAAAAACACAGGAGGCATGTGTGTGTGCATGCCCAAAATTCCAAAAGGAGAATGGAGGCAGTAGGACTGTGTCATGACCACCCACCTCTAGAGGTGATTTTTCACTTTTCCTCTCTATGTGTCTGTCTCTGTCTCTCTCTGGTGAGCATGCAACCCTATAGCAAACTAAAAATAAATAAATAATAAAGTTTTGGGAGACCAGTAGATGATGTAATGGTTACACCACCGGACTCCCACAGAGTCACCCATGGTTCAAGTCCCAGACCTGGCGGCTTAAAACTTATGCCATGTGCATGTGTGTGTGTGTGCCCAAAATTGCAAAAGGAGAACAAAGGAGAAGGGATTGTGGCGTGGCGATCCTCCCTGGAGGTGATTCTCACTTCTGTCTCTCTGGCAACCACACGTGCCCTATATCAAAAATCTCTCTCTGAAAAATAAAGTTTTGGAACTAGATAATGGTGATGGCTGTACAACAGTGTAGATATATTTAATGACACTGAATTGTGCACTTAAAAATTACACAAATGACACATTTTGTGCTATATATATTTCCTTCTTGCTGCAATTAAAAATGATTATGATTAGTTTGATCCATTTAGGAAGTGATTGAAAAGAAAAAGAATCAATGAGTACTGTCTAGTTTCACAAACTATGAGCCTGTTTGTACTGCCAAGATAGAGTACACAGGAAAAAGAAGATTATATAATCAAGAGAGAGAGATTAACTGGGTTGATAAGGTGAAACTTCAGATGATTACAAGTTATTGATAGTGTGGTTCCAAACAATAGAGAAATGGGTTTGGAGATAATGAGCATTTGGTGGCGGTTAAAAAACATGGTATGATGATAGTAATAAATCTTAGGAAGATTTAAACTCCTCTCCCAATCTAATAATTTAGACAACATTATATATACCAGAAAAAAATTTTTTTAGAGAGAGAGAAATTTTTACATTAGGGCATGTGTGGTCACTGGAGATACAGAAAGACAGAGAGAGACAGTGAGAAGCCACCTCCCAAGGGGAGTGGCCACACTGCAATCCCTTCTCCTCCACTCTCCTGGGATTTTAGGCACACAGCCACACGTGCCCGGAGTGATTTTCAAGTCACCGGGTCCAGGACTCAAACTGTGGTTGACCATGTGGGAGTCTAGTGCTTTATCCACTTCACCACCTGCTGGCCCCTCAAAATAGTTTCTTTCTTAACAGTAGTCGTAATTCTTTTCTTGACATTTCTCCAGTGGAAAACTCAGAGTGAACATTGTTGTGCCACTTCATAGCAACACTCTAATTTGATTTTCCTCTGGTTACCGCCAAAAATGTAATTAGATACCTGATCCAGGGTCACTAACAGTTTGTCCATTTACTTCAGGAGACAATAAGCTTTCAAAGGCTGGTTCTGAGAATCAACTTACTTGGGTGCCCTGTGTCTTCCTTGAGAGCAGGGAGAGCTGCTAAGACTCACAGATATATGAATTTGAATATTATCAGAAACAATTAATGGGCTCTACCTGAAATGATATCCCTGTTATAGCACCCCTAGTCAAGGTTCAAATGAGGTTCTACAGTTGATACAGTCTAAAGCTCTATATTTATTGTTATCATTACTATTATTAGGATAAAGTCTTATTAGAGGATCAGCTTGCATCATTAGCACAAACATGTTAAAAGGGAATTGACAAATTTATAGTGTAATGATATTTCTTTTTCTTTGTGTATATGCTACTAGCAGATTTTTCTATAGATCAGAGAAATCTCATACAGTTCCTTAACTGGTAACTAAAGAACTGTGTTACTAGTATTCTGGGGATTCTCAGTCTCAGCAGTTATTAACATTTTGGACTCGATAGCTCTTCTCATGGGGGAGAAGGCTGTCCTGTGCATTATAGGGTGATTATAGGGCAATTAGCATCCCTGGCTTCTACCCACAGATGCCAGTCCCATCTTCTCAGTCCGGAGAATCTAAAATATATCCAAACATTATCAAATATTTCCTGGGAAATAAAACTGCTCCCAGTTGAAATACGTCCCATTTAAAAAGATACCTAAAATCAGGACTCAAATGACACCTAATTGGACTATTGTCCTACAGAGATGCTAAATCAGAGATGTTCCACTATTAGAAAGCAAGAGAGTTATTGAAAGTGCAGCAGTTCAACCAGATCTCCTAACAGCCTAGGAGGCAACTGGAGCAGCCAAAGGGAGCTAGCAAGCCAAGCGACTGGGTGAAGATTTTATACTCAGCTAGCAGCCTCTGTCCTCTCTGCATCTAGACCTTCACTTCTCTAGCCCCAGGACCTTCCCAGTGTAGCCACTGCCATAATGTCACCATCACAGATAAGTCATTCCCAGGAAAAGGGTGGAGTTGTCCCCACTGAGGGAGACATGGGCAATGTTTCCCATATTTTTTTTTTAACAATCACTTCCTGAAAAATGGACAGGACATTAAGACAACCATGAAAACGCTACACTATAACCTCACACTTGTTTTCTAGTGTGGGCATGAAAACATGCTACACATCTATAGAAAATATCCTTTAGCACACCAGGTGCACTTGGGACAGTCCTGGAACTAGGCTGGTTGAGGCTAGGAGTAGACTGAAGTGTGACTGTAACTGGGTCTTACTTAACCAAACTGACTCCAACTTGTTTATTTCAGGGACCAGCAGGTGGCGTGGTGGCTAAGGCGCTGGACACTCCCACATGGCTGACCATGGTTCAAGTCCTGGAGCTGGCAGCTTGCTTCTCCCTTTCCCTCTCTCTCTCTTTCTCTCTCTGTATGTCTCTCTCTGGTCAAATTAAAATAAATGAATGAGTACATACAATTAATAAAAAGTAATTCCTTAAAAACAACAACAACAAAACTGTTCCTTTGTCAACCTAATACTCTCTGAAATTTCTCATGGGAATTCCAAGGAGATGAATGACCAACTTGGAGCTTAAAATAACGAGGGACGCTCTACCTCAGTCACAGCTGAAAGTCCTGTCTTTGAAGATGGATTGTTTGATTCTATCACTTAGCTGAGAAAGAAACTCCTGCCTCCAAAATAAATTATTTGATTGTACCCCCAGCTAAAAACTAACCTGATCTATGCTTTTCTATAGATGGTTTTAAGCATGCCCCTTCTCCTGTAAAAACATCTATAAATCAACTGACTGGTTGAAGATATTCTTACATGTCTTCCTGGCATGATCACACTGTTAAAAGTTTTCCTTTCTTCTCTCATCAACGATATTGCCTCTCTCTGTTTTGTTGAGCAGCAGGGGTCAGACCTGCTCTGGGTTCCTGAACTGGGGTTGTAGAACCTTCCCCCATTGGAGGATCTTTCTCTCCCTCCCTTTCTCTCTGTTTCATTGAAGATATATATTCTACACACACACAT